TGGCCAGTTCCTCTGCACATCATTATGGATAGGAACAAAGACTATCTTTCTTGAAGTACCGGTCAGCAATCAAACTTCGTTTGCCAGTATTTTCTCGAAGTGATGAAGAAGCAACAGAAATACATTTGTATCTGTAGCGACTGTAGCGTTATCCTAGTATCCGCCTCCTTGTGAAAAGCTTCTAAAGAGGAAATCTGTGTCATCTGCGGTTACAGAAAACTTTTCTTTCGTCACTGAAGCTTCCAGCAATCACCAGTACGCCGTCAAATGAGGCGTCTTCAAGGTGATGCGACAATAACTCATTTCTTTTGTTTTCCTCTAATGAAAGGAACTTCTTCCATATGTGAGGTAATGGAACATCGCGGATATCTATCACACGACGCACAGGAACCAAAATGCTTGCCAAAACAGAAATAATTTAATAATTACACCATGTGAACAAATTTAAATTTAAACCTAGGTACTATGAAAAAAAGGTTTCCACTTTTACGCACTTTGACGTTAGAAAAACTATGAAATCATTGTTTAAACATTTGTTCACTATTATTATCGTGCCGTACCTCCGTCATGAATAACATTATAATCCGTTTTTAGATCGAAAAAATCGGTCGCATGAGTGAAAAGATCAACATTTTCGGAAATTGGCCGCCATCTTGAATTCTGAACTTCCTGTTCAGATTTCGAGATGCCAACATCGATATTCGTGTTCAGCAGGTCCAAATTAGTAAAAAACGCCTATTTGGCCAAATGTTGTCTGAAATGCCCCTAGAACCTGTTAAAACGCTGCTTTTTATAAAAGTGAACCAGTCTAAAAAAAAACTCAACGGTATGTACTTATTAATTATTTCTATACGTATTACTTATACCCAGTGGTCGAAGTGGCAAATATTTTTTACCGGTATGGCTGAACTGATAAAATCTTAGTATTGTATGTATGCGTATATTATCATGAAAAAACTTTATCCGTTATGCCTATGTGGATAAATTTATTACCGGTATGTTTCACAAAAACCAAAAATCTATCGGTATGCCATACCGCCGCATACCGCCTCACTTCGACCACTGCTTATACCTACGCATCATTAAAAAATCTGCAGTTATTCCTAATTCTTACTAATAAAGAAAACACGTCCGATATATTACGGGATGGCACAATATTAATAAAAAAATTACATCTATACAGTGCAGAATTTGTAAGATAGTAAATCATTCTCTTCCTCTTCCAACGACGCGACGCCTGTGTGTCCATTGTGGAAACAATTTGTCTGTATCGTTTCTGATTTTGTCCGATCGAGAATAGTGGCTTTAATCGTGTTAATGGAGTTTTATAAAAGTACTGAAGACACAAATAAAAATGATGTTTAAACGAGTATAGTTTTCGTACTCGTTTTCCTTTCTGTACAAGCATAGCCAATATTAGATATTATGTAATTATGTATATTGTACACAATTATGTTGCATAGATAGGTATGTTTAAATTCATTTGGGAGAAAGTGTTAATATTTTAAGCCTTAAAATTAGTTCACTTTTGAACGTTAATTAATTCCGTCTAGAATAAGCTGTAGATTCGTATTTGCGGCGCCGATATAGATATGTGGGTGTCATCATGCGTCCAGCGTCCTTCTTTCACCTACGCGGTTGTAACAACCTGGCGCCTTCTCGCCGGTTCTACAAGACCAGTACAGGATTGGTATATTCGAGGAACACGTAATGCGTATGCTGTGATTAATCACATATTTTGAAGAAATTGAGACACGCAAGCCATGACTATTTCGTAATGGAATCAATCTCGTATTTGTCACGTTGAAGGAAGTAATTAGATCGACACAAATCTTGAAATGTAGTTTTTCATTAACCAAGTCGCGGAAAAAAATTTCTGTTTTAAAATACAGAAAATGGAATTCTGAGAACAATTTTCACATAGTAAATCACAGTCCATTAATTTTTTTCATTTCTTCGCTTGAACTTGGCTCAAAACCGTCATGAAACTCAGTACTTCTGAACTTCTAACAATCATTTACTTACAAATTAAAAGATTACATTTTTATCACAGGAGCAGTGAAGAAGGAATTTCCTTATACAATTGTAGAGGCCAATAACTTGGGCGTTCAAATTGTAGATGGCGTCTCGATTTCTATTTCTTCGAGCACAGACCATCACCTGGCCAGGATTGCTAAGGTTCATGAATGTGTTTTCAATCTCAAGGTTGTAATTTTTTACTTTGTCATTTGGAGCCGACAATGTAACTTGATCGCTCAGGATGAAGGCCAAAAAAAGGTGCTGAGTGCTCAAGAATTAATAATAACTGTCGTCAGCTCCTGAAAAAGTTTTTCCCGATTGATAACCCATGGTTAATTTCTTAATTTTACGTATATTCTCTCGTAGTCGTGTATAGGCCTACTCACCCACCAATCAAATAAATTATAAAACATAAATTATGTACTTCGTGATCGAGCAGCTAGCGACGATGCAAATATTTTAAAAGAATGAAAAGTATTCACCCACAGTTTCCTGCTGGTCTCGAATTAACCCATGATATTTTCTCATAAATGTGAGTAAAATTCGTTTTTAGAACCTTTTGGTAGTTACTAAATCTTAGCGTTTACCGTCAAGTTAGTTACATTCATAACAAGAACAGGGAAGTGTTGATAATAAAACACACCGTTAAGTCCTTCTCTGTGTTGTAGGGAGGATCCCGATCTCGCGAGATCTCGTGTCATTTCTCGAGACGAATTCCGAAGCGTAATATCACGAGATCTCGTAGGCGATTGAGCGTCGTTGATGGTCTGTGATTGGGCGGCAGTAGTCAGCGACACTAAACGGGTCCTAAAATCGACACGACTTTTCAAGAGGAATTAGAAGACTCTGTGAGAGGAGATTAACTTTATAATCACATAGTAGTTTTCATCGCTTTTTAATTATCCCATTTAAACAATATTTTTTTGAAAAATTTCTGATAGCTCGAAAATACCGAGATCTCGCGAGATTGTAATTCCTAATTTCGCAAGATCTCAGAGACCTGCGAGAATAGGTAAAGACGGAATATAGATCAAAATACGGTTCAAAACGTTGTTGACCGGACTGGGCGGTACGAATAGTGATCCTACGTTGTATTGTTGTACGGTCAATTCTTTTATGTGTTGGGACGTGAGCCACAATCGGAAAGGGAGTTGAATAAAAGTATGAGAAGTTATTCGGTATAAGAGTAGTCAGGCCAATCATCGCAGGTAGCCACCCACTGCAAAACTTATATTTTTCTTCGTACGCGCTAGAAGGAGATCTGTACAACCAGTTCATTCCGAAACGTAACATCCTATGTTCCAACACAAATTGCTTTTAAAGAGAATTAACGTCATTCAGTCTCTCTCGCTTAACTTCGCCGAGATGAAATCTATTTTCTTCGTCTGTTTTTGCTTCCTACTTTTTTGTGCCAACTAGCTCATGGTGGGAAAATGAAATAAAATAAAAGTTCGAGATCTTCCACAGCGGTATCTGGGCGTATGATCTTCGGGTACCACTTACCAATGGAGTTGAACGCCACTCAATTTCTATCTTAACTCTCCCCGTATAAAATTGAGACGATACGAGGGTAGTAATAATAATAACAGTGAAATCAATTTTCCAAAAGAATTATTTTATTCTAAATATCAAACCAAAGTATCTTCAAAATTTACTCACAGTAATTACACCCCAAACGTGTACGTTAAACTTCCCAAAAAACTCCAAATTAACTTCCCACAAAAGAATAAATCCCAAGTCAATAATGATCGATTATGAGATGGGAAAATAAATATAAAAGAGGGCCACATAAAATAATTACATCATTTAAGCCGGCCAAAGAGGATTTATCATTATCATAAATAATAAAAAATCAGCTGGACAATACAATATTTGTACAACTAGAGAGGATATTTCGGCTCGAGTTCAAAGCTTCACACATGAGCGTAGCGAGTGTGTCAATTGAACGAGAGTTGAAAAACACTTTCTTCTCAAGTTTTACACATGATTTTTTCTGAAAGTAGGTACAATCAAAATTGCACAATTATCGTATGCAATATTGAAGTTTGACACATAGCAATCTAGATACGGGTATTGTCATTATTAAGATTAACGCAGTAATTGTTTTTTACTTTCTTCACTAAAGAGGACGCTCATATTTTCTTCAACCTGTTTAGAGATGAAAGTATAGTAGTTTCTAAAGTAGTTTGAGAAATTCGCAAAACGCTCTCAAGATGTTCCTCAGTTGTCCTGTTCATAAATTTGTTTTTGCCATTATAGAATAGATGACTGGTATTAACCGCGGGCCGGATCGAACCATTTCTCGGGCCGCTATTTCCCCATCCCTTGCACCGCCGGTAGCTTGGTAGGTGGGTTGGGTTGTGAAAGAAGATGGCAGGACGAGTTGGCTTTATTTTTGATTTTACAAACTAAAAGTTTTAACACATTAGGGTAATTACTGACTTGAAAGAATCATATCTAAACCAGGCGCTGGCGTGGAATAATTAAAAATTATTTTGAACAAAACCACAAGGTTTTAGAGTAAAATGTTGCTCTTAATTGTGTCTACGTTGCAATACAAAAATCAAATTCTCTTTCCACTAGGTAACATTTCCAGCGCCTGCTTTAACTACGGCAAAACAAGTTTGTACATTCGGGCAATACCCGTGTATTTTTAAACTTTACATTTTGAATTAGAGTAAATGAAGTTTCTGCTACAATATGGGTTGGAACCCCTATTTATAATAGCAATGGTACCATAGGGAAAATTATAGGATTGACTTGCACATAAATATCACTCAAATTTCATGTTCCGGACATTGGATATCGAACGCTTGCAGATTTGCCTTAAAGTAATTGGGGAGACACAACAAAATTAAACCCATAACTCCGCCACTGGAAGTGGGACACAAACTTTTTAGTTGAACCTTATCGGTACTTGAGCTACAGCCACAGCTTTTTGTACGGTAAGAAATCTTTATTTGTTTAGTATCAAACAATAGGCGTTTTTTCGCGAGATACCTTTTATTCAACGGTATCTGAAATTACTCTGGTATCTGATACCGGTGCGTTTTCGCGAGAGTAAAATTTCAATGTATGACGTCATTGTACGTCACCGTTTAAGACCTGGTTATAAAATTCAGTTCAACAGGGGTATACTTGTTGATAATTTTCGGTCAAACTATTCTAACCTAAAAATATTTTTATTTACGTTTAAAAGTAGTTGTTTTTGTAATGGATGCAGTCCAAACTTATGAGTTTACGCTAAACTATTGTGGGGAGGATGTTACGGTGCATCATAATGATTTAGACACCATTTCAATTTTATTAAATGGTGGGTATACCAATAATTCGGTTTCAGAATACGAAATAACTTATACTTGTAGATCCTGTGGCAGCTGAACAATACTTAAGGACAAATGGACTCATTAATACAGACACTACACCCTTTTGTGAGGAAACAGAATATTTAGATACCGCCGAGGATACCGCAATTAATCACACTCCAACTGATCACACCTCAGAATGCAGCAGTGTTCAAGCAACGTGCAGCTCTAATAATAACAGTAAGTGCAAAAGAAATGAGATATCAAAGTGTAATACCTTCTATTATATCATTTCAGATGCAAGGTTGTGGAGTAATAAAAGAAAAATGACCGAACTAGATATTGAAGCCACAAGTTTTTTCCTCGGACAGAGGCTAAAATACGCTAAGTCATTTGACGACAAGAAAACTAACAAAACGTCGCTCTGGTCAAAAATTGCGAAAGAATTAAACGATAATGGGTACACGGTTGGAGAAGGAAAAGAGGGGGCAGAGAAATGCAGGCAAAAGTTTGCGAACTTACAGCGGCAATACATCTCTCACCGAGATCATATGAAAAGGACAGGAGAAAATACCAAAGATCCCCCAGCTTTTTTTGACGAGATGCATGGAATCTTAGGGGCAAAACATAAAGTTGATCCAGAATATGTTTTGGATTCTAGCAATATAAGTGCGCCCAGTAGTGAGGTTGAGTCTCAAGAATCGATTGAAGCAAATAACGAGGATACACAGATCGAAAACGTTTCATCGCCGGAGAGCGTAGAATCGTTGCCCAAATCGGGGAACGTAACCCCCACTTCCATAAGGAATAGATTTTCAGCTGTAAAGAAAACGTGCAAACCTGTTACAGACAATGCAGTATCTTTAACCAAATTATTAGACGATCAATTTAAGGCCGATTTGGCTCAACGAGAGCAACATTTTCAACGTTTAGACGAATTGCTTTCTGTACAAAATAATCAAAGAGATAGAATGCTGAAGCAATTCGATGAAATTATCACATTAATTAAAGATAAGAAAAACAAAGACCCTCAAGAGGAAGCATAAATTTTATATATTGTTTGTTGTTTAGTATAGGCACAACCAGGTTATCTGTGGTATGGGTAATGTAGTACGAAATAGTTACTCTTTTATTAGTTATCGAGAGATCTCATGTTATTTTTTATCTTTTTTTATTATAATCAATCGTTTTTATATTACATTATTTGATAAAATATTTGCTATGCGTCCTCGTTTTTCTTTTCCTAAGGCAAACTGTTGTCTATCAAAATCCCTGTGCAGCACACCGTCCTCAATCGTTTGTTTATTATCTTCAAACTCTGTTGTCCATTTGTCGTGGTTTATGTAGCAAAAATTGTGTAGAACACATGAAGCACTTATAATTTCTACAGATTTGCTTATGGAATAGCAATTAATAAATTTTAAGCGCCGAAATCTCCCCTTTAGAATACCGAAAGCATTTTCAATGCAGACGCGATCAGCACTTAATAAATAATTGTGCCTTTTCTCTATGCTGCTCAGATTATTATGTTTTTTAAATGGAGTCATTATCCACTGCTTTAAAGGAAAAGCGCTATCTCCTATTAAATGATGTTCTGGAGTAGGAAAGAACTTCTGTGATCCATATCGTTGAATGTAGGACACCAATGGCGACGCAGAAAAGACCTACATTATATTAAAATGTACTATGTGTGGTGTGTAATACTACCAAAAGAAAACCTTACTCTAGAATCGTGGGCCGAGCCGGGATATCCTATAAAAACATAGGTGAAAATTTTTCCAGAGGAACAAATTCCCATCAAGTTGATAGAGTGCTGCTGGTATCGATCAGCATAGCTTTCGTGCTGTGATTCAGGAACTGTTACATTTATATGGCAACCGTCAACTGCACCCACAACACCTACAATATTTTAAAGTGGAAGCCAATTAATAATTATTTACTAACAATACCTGGATAATTCTTGAATCCACTGACAATGTAATCAAACTCTTCTTGATTTTTGGGCCAAACAATATACTTTGTTTTTAATAAATTTGTGATGTACAAAAAAATATTCACTATGTTCATTACAGTTGAAGATACTACACCAAAACGATCAGCAATACCATGTAAAGTATCTTGATGACCCAAATACCATAAAAAAATTAGGAGACATTTTTCGGGATCAGTTGGGTAATTCCCTCCTCGATATTTTTTCCGAATTAAACAAAATCTATCATATTTAATGAGTTCCTGGAGTAGAATATAAAATGTATTTTTTCTCAGACGAAACAATTGAAAAAACACATGCTCGTGGTACTGGTGCAACCACACATTGTGATTAACGTTTTGCTTTGCATGTTTATTCCGATGTCTGAGTAACCCAACAATTTTTGTGGCCTTATTGCGGTAAGTATGTATATAGTTTGTCATTATCTGAGAGTGCTCAGTCTCCCACATCATGTCAATATAAAACTTTAAATAATGATTTAATAAGAGAACTGGCTCCATTATGAAGTATTTCTAACCTAAAATCGATCAGCTGACTATGTTGAAACCACATGAATAACCGTCCCATTTTCGCGACATACAACGGTCACAGTGAACGCTAATAACCGATCGGTTATATCATATAAGACCGGGTATCTCGCGAAAAAACGCCTAATATTGGTGCCGAAGTTATTAGTGGTGGTTTCAGACCACATTAGATAATAAGGCATGTAAATTAAGTACACCTTTAATTAAAGTAAATATAAACTTAGTACAGGTACGTTTATGTTGACGTTTAGTATTGTACTAGAAAATCCTAATGTGAATACATCACACGCCCCTTCTTAAACAAAATTAAAAAAATAACATTTCATTGGTATACTTAAATATTACATTATTAATCGGTCTGGTATTTTAACAAGTCTGCCACTTCTGGTATAATAGTCACTCGTCACAATCGGGTTTGTCTCACTGGAAGTAGTGCCCACTTTCACTTCAGGTTCGCACTTCAGAGTTTCTTCGCTCATCCGTCTGGGATTGATCTGTTGCCTATTCCGCCGGTAATCCGCTTCACCTATGCGAACAATGTAGTCGTTAGGGCCTGATTTCTTCATTACAACGCCAGGTTTCCAATTACGTATACCTTCTTGAACGAAAACGTCTTGTTGTGGCTCCAACTCATTCAGCTTTTTCGTTGAGACGTCATAGTACGCCTTTTGCCTTTCTTGTAGAAGTTTTAGCTGATCCTTACTACCTCGAATTGGGAACTTAGGCTCGAGAAGTTTACAACTAACGGGTAAAGATGTCCTTAATCTTCTTCCCATCAGCAGCTCACTAGGAGAAGGTAAGTTTTGTTTGGCAGTAACATTATAATTTAATATGGCGGCGAATGGATCTTCTTTTTCTAGGAGACACTTTGTTAAAAGACTTTTTACAGTCTGTACTGTTCTCTCAACCATTCCATTAGATCTCGGATATCGAGGACTAGATGTAGTTAACTTTATATCATACCTATTTGCAAATTCTATAAAGTCCCATGAATTGAACGGAGGTCCATTGTCGGAAAATACTTCTTCAGGCAATCCATTAATTGCAAAAATATTCTTCAAGCAAGAGATTAACAGTGTTACCTGTTTTGTTGGGCAATTTGTTAACCACAGCAAACTTACTAAAACTACTACTACAACTAGGAAATCTTGAGAGAATAGTGCTTTAAAGTCAATGGCAATTTTTTGCCAAGGTCGGTCAGGTACGTCATGTGGAGACAGTGGTTCTCTCGCATTTGACTTGGCATACGATTGACACAACTGACAACCGAGAACCATCTTTTCGATGTCTGATGACCATCCTGGATAATAGATGGCATCCTGGCCCAATTTCTTGCAAGCATTCACACCTTGATGGTATTTATGGATTAAATTTAGAAACTCATTTCTAAGACTTGCAGGTAAAATTAGCCGCTTTTGGTAAAAAAGTAGGTTTTCGTGGAGATGTGTATCATTTCGCACAGGCCAATACTGCTTCACACCGTCAGAAACTTGTATTTGATGTTTGGGCCATCCGTGCAATACATAATTTTTAATTTCAATTAATATAGGGTCGGCATGAACAGCCTCCTTTATTTTGTTTTCTGTTTCAGGTTTAACTGCTATAACAGAAAACAATTTGAACTTAGAATCCAAGTATTCGGTATTAATAATGTCGTCTGTGGGGTCACGACTAAGCGCATCTGGTACCTGAAGGCACTTTCCCGGAACGAACGAAAGTGTGAACTGATATCGAAGAAGTCTTATCGCAAGTCTCTGGATTCGCGGCGACATTTCATCTAGAGGTTTTTTTAATAGTCCAATAAGTGGACGATGGTCACTTTCGATTATAAAATTAATTTGCCCGCTCAAATAGTAATTAAAACGCTCACAACCAAATACGAGTCCTAGTAACTCCTTTTCTATATGATTGTATCGTTGCTGAGTCTGAGTTAATGACACGCTTGCAAATTCTATAGGCCGATTATCTTGAGTGATAACTGCCCCTAGTCCATATGGGCTAGCATCTACTGAATTTGATCTCCTTTTTCGGATCAAAGAAAGTCAAAGTTGTAGCTGAGGAAACTAATTGTTTGAGCCTATTAAATGTTGCTTCCTCGACCGAAGTCCATTGCCATTCTGTGTTTTCACTTAGAAGATTTCTGAGAGTATTGGTTTCGCTCGACAAATTTGGAATAAACTTAGAAAGGTAGACAATCATACCAAGGAACCTCTGTAATTCTTTTTTATTTTTGGGTGATTTCATTTCACATATAGCACGCCTTTTGTTTTGGTGAGGTGATATGCCACGTTTACTGATCGTATGACCCAAAAATGTTAATTCCTTAACACAGAATTTTGATTTTTCACGATTTAGGGTAAGACCGCTATCTTTAATTCTTTTAAGAACACTATTTAGATTTTCGTTATGTTCTTCTACTGTTTTTCCGAAAACGAGAATGTCATCGAAGTAGGATGACACGCCTTGAATTCCCTCCAGTATTTCAAAAATGAATCTTTGAAAACTTTCCGGTGCGCATGAAATACCATATGGAAGACGTAAGTATCGATATCTGCCAAAGCAGGTAGCTATTGTACATGACAATGAACTGTTATGCGTTAAGGGTATCTGCAAAAATGCAGACGAAGCATCAAGTATACTAAAATATTTAGCACCTCCGAGTTGCGAAAATAAAACGTCCGCGGTGGGTATTTGAAAAATTTCACGTTTAATGTATTTATTTAACGCACGAGGGTCCATGCAAATTCTAATGTCGTTTTTGTCTGGTTTTTGCACAACCACTATAGGGTGAACCCAATCGGTAGGTTCAGTTATGGGAATTATTAATTGTTCGCGAACCATTTGGTCCAGCTTTGCTTTCACTTTATCTCTAAGAGCGATAGGAATTTTTCGCGGTGCACTTACACAAGGCACTGCGCTATCACACAAGATTGTTTGTTTATTTTACCAATGCCCACAAAAACTGAGTTATACAAACTTAAAATGTCTGGTAGCTTTTTACTAACCGCATCCAGACTAAGTGTCTTATTTATACGAGCAATTGTTTTTGGTATAATGATTAATTCTCGCACTGCATTTAATCCCAAAATTGAGGATATTTTGGGATCGTCAATCACGTAGAACAACAAAATATGACTTTGGTCATTGTACATACATTTTAGATAAACTTGTCCCATCACATTAATTTTGTGACCCGAATACGATACTAAAACTGAAGATGCATTCGTTAGTTTTTTAATTGGTATATTTAAGGATTTGAAATCGAAAATATTTAGTGTATTGACTTGACTTCCCGTATCGATTTTAAACTCAATATTTACTCCCGAAACGTTCAACACTTTTACCCAGTCAATTGCACTAATGTCCGAATTTGTGATTGTCCACACGATTAGGTTAGAGTCTGCATTTTGCTCGGTAGCAAAATCTTCATCTTCGTCCAACTCGAGATCACCAAACTGTTCAATTAGTTCATGAATATTGGACTTTTTCTTACAAAAATTACGATAGTGTCCAGTTTGCTTACAAAAACTGCACACTCTATTAAATGCGAGACACTTACCAAATTTGTGTTGTCGCCCACAATTAGAGCACGGATGGTTACCTTTTTGTTGACCTCCAGCACCACCTGAGTATCCCGCTACTTGGCCGAAACCTCCCGTTGAGTGATCGCTCGATTCGCGCACTTGTCTGTAATCACTTTGTGGTCCACTACTGTTTTTGAACCGTTGCTTAAGCGCACTCACTGTCACATGTTCTTTGTTAATCTCTTTTTGAGTAAGAACACTACTCTCCATCAATCGGCAAGTATTTATCGCGTCACTCAATTCCAGGTTGGGATCTTGTAGGAGTCTTTCTTGAATTCGAGGATCTCTTACCCCTAACACGATTCTGTCACGTATTAATGTATCTTTTTCCACAAACTCACAAGAACTCGCTAATTGTCTCAGCGCGGTAATGAACTGATCAATTGACTCGCCTACAAGTTGCTCCCTTTTAAAAAACTTAAAGTGCTCGTACACAAGATTTTTTTTTGGATTACAATAATTTTCAAATTTGTTAATTATTGTGGCAAGTTTTCTGCTATCTTCCTCCTCTGTGTACTCAAACGTATTGTACACATTAATTCCTTCATCACCCAACAAGTTAAGTAGAATCGCGATTTTTACATCGTCTTTTTGATCACTCTTCCCACTTGCTAATAGATAAAATTGAAATTTCTGTTTCCACAATTTCCAATTTGCAGGTAAATCACCAGTAAACGAAAATGGTTCCGGAGCACGGCATTGTTCCGCCATAATACACTTCGCCAATAACTAATTAAGTTATTAATTTATTATTAAACATCAGATGTCCTGATTGTAATAAAATCGCGTATTTTTTTATTTTATCCTAAATCGTTATAGTAACAATAACTCCTTAGCGACGAGTTGTGTTAAGGCACATTTAACAACACTAGTGCTGTAAAAAATTTCTTAACAACACTTTTTTATTGGCCAACAACGAAGAATATAATATAATTCATGGAACACATTAACTACTAAATAACGGTGTATTTTCATCGGTTTTAGAGTTGTCACTGACTGTCACATTATATTGTACAATTTTGTACGTTTTCAAATTTTATTCCACCCGAAGAAACGGTGCCCGAGAAAGACTGTCCAAGGCTAACATTCTTCAAGGGAACATCGGCGGTGTTAGTAGGTACCAGTTTTGGAGAATATGCTGAACTATTGGTCTTCATAAAGGATATAACTATTTCATAGGAAGAAACGTCCACATTTTCATGTGCGATCAACATTTTTTTGAGCATGGAGATTTTCGTCCATACAGAAGAGGCTTCAAGATTCTTGGACTAACAAAACAACTTTCACTTATATGAATAATAACCTCGTAAATAACAGAGAATGACTTACCAGTTCAGAAACGTATGCCAACATGACATCTAAGTTAATTTGGCTAAAACTGTCATTTAGCTGCCAACATTTAAATAAATCAAATTCCTTTTTATACCTATCCGCAGAACCGCAGACTTGTTTGGTATTAATTTGCAGCGACCTGCATCAACTTTTTCCTTAATGTATGAATTACTCTCGCACATTTTCTTGAAAATTTTCTCGAATAAACAAACTGGATAAACAAACACTGATTGTCATAGATACCCTTAGATGCTGTACGCATGGCCAACTGTCAGATTCCCTGGTTTATCATTCTACCTTTAATGAATGTCGTATAACGAAGATGAATGAGGACTGAGGATAAAATAAAACGTGTTACGAAACACGTAACGTTATAAGGTTTTACATTCCTCGGGAATTTTAAAGAACTCGGGGCGTTGCCCCTCGTTCTTCAAACATATTCCCTCGTAATGTAAAACCCATAATAACGTTACTTGATACGTAAACTACTATTACCAGACTGAAAATTTTTACCAGACTGGAAATTTTGCCTAGCAACGGCAACTGACATCCATCTAAACGTGATATTTGATTGAATGATTGATATTGATATTTGTCAAACTACTGTCAGATCAAACAAATCAAGTGATCGATTTTTGCTTTTATTTTAATGTGTACCTACAACATTCTAATCAAAATGGTATTTTAATAGAAATAGAGCAGTATGAAATAAAATGTTTTACATTATTTGTATGTTAAATCAGTTAACGTTACTCGTTTCGAAATTCCTGCCTCAGCTACGCTTCGGCAGTAAACATCTCACTCGTTAACGTAAACCTTGATTTATCATACTCATATGTAAATAACTATTCCACTGAAATATTTGCATAGGTTCAGATTTAAAGATCTCTTGATCAAAGTACACAAGGCTGTTTGACGTATTCACATACATAGGCGAATTTTCCTTAAGACAGAATTGTATTAAGGTGCGAAATGACCGGTTGCAAGGCTCCTTAGCAGCATTACGAGCTCTGAACCTTCTTTGGAGGCGAATTTAGTTGGAGCTAATTTTTGGTATGGTCATATTCTTATAAAATAAGCAAAATCTTCCTAGAGAGTATTCTTGGAAGCTTAAGAGTATACACGATATCTTGAAAACGAGTGGACCGATTGCGATGAAATTTTGCAGATAGATTCTTTATCAAATTTGTAGATCAGAGTTCGTGAATTAGAAATGTAGCGCTTTTGACATCTCCGTTAGTTATGAACCGAATTGTATGACATTCAAAATGAGCACAACTTTAACCATATAATACGCAATGCCAAGCAATAGCCATAACCATACGCAGGAGCTCATTTGCTATATTTGTTTACACATTTTTTATTTTCATTCCTACTTTCTGTCCGGTAATTTTAGTTTCCATGGTAGAGGCGTTTTCGAAAATCTGGTAGATTTGGCCATGGTAACAATTATTGCCACAATTGTTTCCATGATCATTTTTACTAACCCGGTTTTCCCGACTTTTATGTAAATAACTATTTAATTGTCCCCAATGTAAAGGCTTTACCGCATAGAAGACGAACCTGCTACTTGTAGGGGGTGATTAACTCACCCTCAATATTAGTTTTGTAATAAATATCAATGGATCTCAAGTTTTCAAAAATTAATCATTGAGGTACTTACGACAGAATAGAAACCTATTGAAGTGTACAAACAGAGAGTAGACGTTAACGACTTCTATATTTCCCTGCAGGAAGTTTGTACAATACACCCCTTCCACGCGTAAAACATTGTTTTATGGGGTGGAGAAAAAGTTCATGCGTCGAATATAAAGTTTTATTTTAATTTCGACATTCAAAGCGCTCGTTATACCATCACGGAGAATTGGAAAAGGTGCAATTAAATGCGGTGATGCAGGGGGCAATTGAAGATGTGAGTACACATGCTGGGAGAAAATTCTGAAGGCGCTGCGGATAGTGCAGAATTATTAATGGAAACAAATTAGGGTATGAATTATTAAAAAGGTGCTTCGTACGCGTAATTTTAAACAATTTCGATGTTACACACTGAAAAGCAATAAAAACCGTTAACGAGCAATAAACACTTTCTAGCGTAATAAACGGACATTGATTGCATTGACTAAAAGAGTCGTAAACCGAATTTATGAAATTAATAAGTGCTTTAATAGGCGATGGTTGCTAATCCACGTCCAATACCGCATTAGTAAAATTAAATTCCAACCCTAATTTATCGACATAGATCGTATTTTATTCGAATATTTGAACACATGGTGTTTTAACGTGAAGAGGAGAACGTGCGTAATGCATATTCTGGGAGGCTCTTGACTCCGGAACTCCATTAGTGCTGAGCGGCGCCCGAAGCTCTTAACGGATCTAACTTCCATACAACTTTCGAAGCAATTTTGCTGAATGTTGAACTAGTAACAAAAGGGGCAAAGTTAAGAATATCAATGTCGTTTAATGGGACAGATAAAAGTAGGGTTACAGACAACACAATACTCACGATAGGAATTCACCCCGCCGCCGTACTCAAGCAAGATAGTTCGATACTAACGACCAGTGCCGACAAATGTTTGTGCGTCGACTTACCATTGAATTATAGTTATAAATTCAATGGACTTACCTGAAACAGAAATAGAGAGTTAACACAAGCAGTAGGTATACATTTTACAATGAAAAAATGAGCAGTAGTCTTGACCGCTCGCATCGCCTCCCTTAAACTTGTCCATTAAAAGAAGAAGCCGGCAATACATAAAATCGCCCCTTGAAATGCGACAGGCAAGAATTTAATTTAAAATATATTAATTCGCAATTTATTTTCATTAGTGTCACCCCCAAAAATCTTGCAAATTATTCACAAATGCGAATTTAAAAACATTTTTACAATTGTCGTCAAAGGCATTTGCAAAACCTCTACTTATGAAAAATCGTCCCAAGCTAACTAGATTTTCGTCTCCAACTGCAGTCTTTTATAGATCTTTTAGTTTAGTCAGTATATCTAAACTCGATCATAATCCTTACTAGCTTTATATTCCCACATTCTATCCGCATTTCCACCTTATCTTTAGGGTGTTCTAATAATTTCGGCATATACAGGCTGATTCAAATTCGAGGGCCACTATGGGGATCTCGAAAACTGTAAGAGATAGGTAGGTAGTTTAAATTGGGCAAGTTGCCTGTTTTGATGCTTAACAAAATGCCGTTTTGAAACTGAAAAAATTCTAACTACTTTCGAATTAATTTAAAACGTTTTAATATGTTTGAACGTATATCGAAGGTATAAGCCACAGTGTATGATTACACCGTGGTATAAGACGACGAAACGAGAATTCCATTTTGTCCCTACCCAAAATGGACGATTGGATCCGATCCGATTACAAGGTAGACGTGTACTAAGAGGAAATAGTTTTGTTGGTTTTATTCCCACTAGGGACCGTCAATTTGTTTTAGTTTTTCCGAAGTGACCGCCGCCATTTGCTGAACTCGTCCGATTCCGGAAGTTACCGTTTACACCGGTTGAGTTTACCAAAGGTTTCCGAGGCCGAACCGCTGCTACCACCGACCTTGATCAGGGGCGAGGCCGCATCCTTGATGGCGCTCGAGTCCGTCAGTCCCTCTGCTCGTCTGTCCGTTCCGTCGACCGAACACCCACGCTGCCGCCGACTATTTATGAAAATGTATTTGGTTTTCTTTTAAAATAAATTGAAATTATGATTCCGCTAATGCTTATTTAATTTTAAAGCTCGCCGATTGTGCGCGAACTACCCCAAGTTCGTCGCACCGCACCCAACTGCCAAAATGCCCCCGCGGCAATTGCCAAAATTTCACCCTGAACCCAGGTTCGAACCAAGGACCCTTAGTACTGCAGTCGAGATACAACTCCACTGCGCTTCACAGGCCGACTAAGCCATTAGAGGAGTTTAGACTCCTAGCAAAAAGGTAATTTACCACAGTAGGTAGCGATGTAGGCAATTGGAAATAATGCATACGTATAAAAAAGAAGTTTATAACAAAGTATTAATCAGTATGATGGTATACGCTCGTGTGCATACAAAAGTATGTATAATTTTTTTTCTGGGGAATGTATGTCAATAGAATATGTATTATTGTACAAACAAACCACCATCCATTTTTCATTTCAACTAAAGCTTTATTTCTCTGTCCATTTCTATGAAAAATAATAATGGTGGATTGTTAGTATTTTTCCTGCACATTCTATGCTCAATATGTATCCTATAAAGTAATCTGTCCAATATTTTTATCTACACGTTCACTTTCAGTTAATGCATAACTGGTACCTCATTTTCTGGGTAAAAAAATGGGCTATAACTTTTCATATAACTTGTTAAATGCTTATAATTATGTACTTTCTGAAAAAA